GCAAGAGCGTCCTCGCCCGCTGCCCGTGCTCATGGGCTATGGCCGTCCTGCGCACGTGGTCTGATGGTTGGATGACCTCGGCCCGAATCATCTCACCCGACGGCCAGAAGCACTGCGTATTCGGATGTTTGGGCAAGCTCGACTCGCTGAGGCACTACGCGAGGTGCCCTGTCATGCACCGTGCCCTTCGGCAAGCACTAGCGAGACCGATACCGTTGCCGTGGATGGACAGATGGGGATTATCTGCACCTTCGCTGGCCACCTACTCTGCGATGGCTGCCGCGTACAACATGTACAACGAAGCAAGGCTGGCGCCCGTGTGGCCGCTGCCCCCGAGCCTGCTGCGTAGCTGTGCTCTCGCTGGTGTTCGTGCGATGCGGCTCGCGTCGCCGCTGAAGTGCTCGGAGATCGACCGCGAGCAACTTGGCCGACGGGACTACCTCATTCGCAGCTCTTCTTCGTCTTCCTCTTCGGTGTCGTCACCCCGACTTACGCCGGCGGTATCTTCCTCGGACAGCGACTCGGACACCGTCTCCACAGCCATTGCTACGATCCCGTCGGACTCCGATGCCTGTGATGTTGGTCAGGACCCAAATCGTCCGTCTCCTATGTGGAGCGGGCGTACCTTGTCGCCACACCGTTTTGCTACTGTTGTGCTCGAAACGGCGTCTGGGTGCCACGTGGGCGTGGATGTGGGCTCAGCTGGCACTCCCTGTCCTTCGACTTCGGCGACTCCCTTCCCGCCTACCTCTGCGCCCCCGACGCTGGCGCGCTCCCCACCGACACGGAGGGCGGCCCCATCACCATCTATGTCCTTGAGAGCTCCGCGTATGGCGCCCACCTGTTCGTCAATTTCGTCGCCGTTTCCAATTTCGCGCTCCTCATGTGTGACGCCGTCTTCGCCAGTGACGTTGTCGACTGGGTGTTCCTCAGCCTCGTCGCCTCCCATCGGCGTTAGATCGCAAGTCCCGTTGTCGTGTTCGGGCTCACTGTCGCCAAGTGCTGGATGCCTCATTTCGCCACAGCTGGGCCTTGGCGTTAGATCGCAAGTCCCCTTGTCGTGTTCGGGCTACACGTCGCTGCGTACTGGATGCCTCGAAGGAGACCACCTCTCCTGTGGCGTTAGAATGCAAGTCCCGTTGTCGTGTTCGGGCTCGCCGTCGCCACGCGAGTGTTGCCGTGATTCAGGACACCTGTCCGTCGGCGTTAGATCGCAAGTCCCGTTGTCGTGTTCGGGCTCGCCGTCGCCACGTGTCGGACGAAATCCTGGGACGCTGGAGTCTCCCCGCCGCTGGACGCCGCCATCGCCGCCGTCTCCGAGGCGACCCTCGTCACCGATTTCCACGGGCCCTCCGACGGCGCTCTCACCCTCGGTGTCTCCGATGGCAGGGATTTCTGGCTCTCCTTCGACCCAGAGGGCGGCGCCGCCACTGGCCTCACCATCATCTCCTTCTGAGAGTGTGGCCGGAAATGAGCCATCTGTATCTCCGTTCCCCGCCTCTTCCTTCGCTCCGTTGAGCTCTGCTCCTGCTGCTGCCTGCCCCTCGCCTGCTCCTCCCCCCGCGGCGCTGCTTCATCTCCTGGAGGCTTCATTGTTTCCCTCCCTCACCCCGTCCTTCGCCCCGAGTTCGGCTCCCCCTCCTCCCATCGATCGTTCGTCGCCTCCGAATATAAATACGGCTGCGCCCGACGTCGAGTTCGACGTGCTGCGCAACTCAGGCGCGCCCTGCGCGCCCCCGCCCCTGCCGCCCGCGGCAAATTCTTCGGCTTCGTGGGCTTAGGCGGGAGACTCCTTCCCTCTGTACGCTGGGCTCCTCCTCCTCCTCCTCCTCCTCCTCCTCCTCCTCCTCCTCCTCTTACAATGCTGCACACATATCCCATTTTCGGTTCATCGGATTACGCATAACACGAGAAGGGGTCCTTTGGGGTTTCCAGGTCCGCTATGACACTCGTCGGCGGATTGAAAAGAATGAGTGCAAGTGGAAGGGATGGGCGGGAGGGGTAGGATGTCGGATACGACGCAAGCGCACCGAGCTTAGCGTCACACTCCTCTGCCTCCTCATCTCCCTTCCCCACCCCCTTCTCTGATTTTTCCCTCGCCCCCAAGGGTCAAGAATCGGTCCACGTGCAGACCTGTTCAAGGGGGCGTTCCGGACAGGAACTCGACGGAAATCCAGCTGTGGCCACTTGGGCAGGGCGTCCCAGAAGACGCGAAAGGTGTTCAGAAATCCCGCGGCTCGACCCCTCTCCGATCTTCCCCCCCCTCTCGGGTGTCGCTGGAAGTGCTCCTGGTCCAAGGTGCCCCCAGGATTTCCAAGGAGGCCACCACGGCGCCCTCTGAGATCCGACGTTGCGAACAAATTGCGACATCGCCAAAATCCACGACGAGAGCCTCGGACCCCATCTTTCTGCGTAATTATTCGAGCTGGATCGATCTGCGAGGGTTCCGCGACCTGAAATTGTGCGAAAACGCTTCGTGTGAAGAAATTGTAGCGCCCAGATCTGAGGGTCCAGAGAACTCCTCACGAGGCCCCCCCGAGGGTCCCAGGGGCTTCAAGACGGCGCGAGAAAAGCTGGGGCCACTTTTTGGATCCTGGGGCGGACGACGCGGGAGAATTGGGGTGGAGGGCTGCAGCCAAATCTGCCGCGCCGACGCGAGCCCTGGAGAGGCCACACTCCACATCCAGCGCTGGGATCTTATTTACGTAATCGCTTCGCTCATTCCGCCGGCCCATATTGCCTCGCCGCTGTCGTTTGTCGGGGTGTTGTTGGCAATGCGGTGCGGTTGGGCGGCTGCCATCTTTCGGAGGCGGTGGGGGGCGGGTCAGAGGCCTCATGGATGTTGGTTGGGCTTTCGTGGTTGGCCTCTCAGGGGCCTTTTGGGAGACAGTTTTGAGGCCTCTTGGGGGCCGTGTTGGGGCCTCCTGGGGCTTCTTGGGGGCATCTTGGGGTTTCTCGGGATGCCTCTTGGGGGCCCCTTGGGGCCTCTTGGGGGCCTCTTGGGGCCTCCTGGTGGCCTCTTGGGACTGAAGGCTGGACTTTTCGGTTCCTGGTCAACTTCTTGGGCCCCTCTTGGGGCCGTTTTGGGGCTCTCTTGGGCCGTCTTCGGCTCCTCTTGGGCTGTCTTGGGGCCATCTTGTGCCTTGGGGCTGTCCTAGGGTCCTCTTGGACCCTCTTGGGGCGATCTTGGGAGCCTCTTAGGCCATCTTGGAACGTCGGGAAGCCGAAAAAGGAGAAACCCGAACATGTGTCCAAAACCTAAGGATAATCAATGATTTGTGCCTCTTGGGGCCCTCTTGGGAGTGCTTTGGGAGGCCTTTGGGGGTGTCTGGAGGCCTTGGGCCTTGGGCGCCTCTTGGGTCGTCTGGGGGGCCTCCAGCATCTCTGACGGGCACATGCCGGGATTTGGGCGGGGTGCTTGTCGCGTCGGGGCTTTCAGGGGCCGCCTCGCGCGCGCGAACTTGTTATATTGTTAACGTGTTACCGGAGATCTTGCCACGCCTCTGGCCCGTTGGGCCGGCAGATTTGGCTCGTGGGCCCCCGGGCCTCTCGACCCCTTCCCTCGGGCGGGTGGTGATGGTGGGTGGCCCAAGTGGGGGGGTGAAGAAAAGGGCTCTCAATGGGCCCTTGGCCCTGGTCTGTCTTCACCCCCCCAATTGGGTCACCCCCCGTTAGCGCTCGCCCACTTCCCCCCCGGCCCGGCTGTGCACTCCGAGTCGTTCCGGACGGCACGCCGGCCGTCTCGGTCTGTGCGAGGCGCCCGCTGTCATCATCGCGTTCACCGATCCCCGCCCCCACTGGTCGGTACGACTGGCATGGAATTGGTCGCCATGGGGAAAACGTGTCCTCAAGAAAAAAGTCCTGAGGTTTTTCCGCGTTTTGGGGCTCCTGTGGCCCTCCACGAGCCCCGGGACCGTCAGAAAACGACCCGTTTCCCACAGGACCCGCTTCCCCCATGCTAGATGAGGACGAAGACCAGCAGCAGTCCTGTCCATTTTCAACCTGACTCGCCGTCTGTGTCGCCGCGGGCAGCGTCAATTGGAGACACAAGGCCGCCGCTTGCCCAGCATTTGGACAACGTTTGCTGTTGGGCATCGTGCCCATATTGTCCGTACCCATTGCGGGCGTGCCAACTTGGGCCATGGTACCCCAGCCCCGCCAGCCCACTCCCCAAGGTGGCGGCAAGCCCTGTGAAACCCAGAGGGAGCAGCATAGATCCCCACCCAGGGGGGGGTGAGTCGGCCAGCGGTGCCAGGGTCTCAAAGAAGAAACAACTACATCAACATACACTCTTGGCGCTCCGTGCGGAGTTTCTGGATCGGCGCTGGACCCCCCACCTGGCGCGCGGGGCGCGCCAGGGGTGGCACCGAAGGCGCTGTCAGGTAGGCCCAGTGCCGACCCAAGAAATCCGCGCGGAGCTTCGAAAGTTTATGGCTGCGCCATTTCTTGTGTTTCTGGCCAGAGGGCATGGGGATCGGTTGAACGATGCCCAGTCCGAGGCTCCAAGAAATCCGCGCGGAGTTTCGAAAGCCTATGCTAGGGTCGTTTCTTGTTCTTCTGACCAGTGAGGACGAGAATCGGTGGAGCAATGCTCAGTCCGAAGCGCCAGATTCTTGAGACCCTCAAGGATGTATTCCAGCGCACAGTTCAAGACGCCGTCCAATGCATGCGACGCGTTTCGGGAGCTCTCAGCACCCTTTATCAGGCATTGTGCACACGTGCGCGAGGTGGCCAACTGCGAATGCGACGGATGCCACCTCTGGGAGCCGATTGAGAAGTATGTTGGTTGGAATCAACAGGAGAAGGGGGTCAGAAGCCCCGGCGGCACAATAGTACATGTGACGAGCACCGCTGCACCTCTGACCCACAATTTTTATTGACGGCAATTGCCCAGCACCGCCGCATCTGAGAGCCGATCAATCAGCGAGGAAGCCACACAGAAAGAGAAGCTCGAAGCAGCGACGCGTCGCACCGAAGAGCTTGGCCGCCAAGAGAGAGAGGTCGCCCACGCGCGGCGTGGTGGGCCCCGACGGGGACCAGACGGAGAACGACGCGGTCATCGCGGCGTGCCTCGCCGAGGACCCCGCAGGGCAGGGGTCGACTTAGATTGAAGTCGGGCATGTCCCTCTGGAGGAGGAATCTGCAAGAGCTGTTTGAAGATCGTCCGGTGACGATTTGAGTGGTTGTTCATTAAAAATAAGAGCATGTTTGATTATGTTTGGTTATATGTCATATTCAGTTTCTGGCAAAACCCGCCTGTGCGAAGACACGTTCGGCCTAAACCTAAACGGTGTTTCGGCGATTTCGTGAGCCGTTTTCGTTTCGATCTCGTCTGCAGCAGAGGCGGACGGAAGACTCGGGCCGAACGAAAGGGGGGGATAGGGGAAGGGGGGGCTACGAGATCTGCTGCATGCAGCTGGTTTCGGTTCCGCCGCCAGGCCCATTCCTCGATACATGGGCGCCTCCCGGCGCCAGGAGGCGCTGGGAAAATCAGCTACGTGAGCTGATTCTCACCCCCCCCTTTGCTATCCCCCCCTTTCGCCCGGCCCGAAAGACAGAACGAGGGAAAACGAAAGCGAGACGAGAACGAAACGCACTGTTCAGGTCAATCCCTGCCCCAGTGGGGGGAGGGGAAGAGTTCGGTGTTCGTTCATGGGAGCCTTAATCAGCGACATAGGAATTAGCCCTTCCTGCGTCTGGTCCGCAGTTGGCCCTGTCTGCTCCTCCGCGCCCCTCCTGATCCTCCTCCCCCTCCTCGTCCTTCTCGTTCTTCTGGTCTCCCGCGTGAAGGGGCGAATCCAGTCCAGATCTTGTCCCAAACTTGCTCTAAATGCGGTCCAACCCTAGCCCAAAGCGAACAGCGCCGGAGGCCACGTGGGCTTCCATGGAACGGGCACCGAAGAGGAGAAGGTGGGGGGCGGAACGGACGATCAAAAGGTCGCCAATCGTTCAAGGTTGAACGATCCGCGCGGTGTCAAGACCAACGCCGACGTTATCGCGACGCGATCCTGCCGTGCGGTATCCCAGGGGGGAGAGGAGGGCTTTTCCTACGACCACAGGCAGAGCCTGCGAGTGCCTCGCGACGGCCTGCGTGCCAGGGCAACCTCGCCGCAAAGAGCAGTGACAACACAGCTGGGACTGGGAAGGCACGGAAGAACGTGTGCGACAGGAGGGGGGGAGGGGAAGAGGGGAAGAGGGGAGGGGGGCCAGGGGTAACGTTCTGCGGGGATGCGCTCGGTGTGGGGACGCAGTGGGCCCCAGTCGCCCGTGGATCGCCCATGGGGGGCTGGATGGTCCGCCTCGCCCAACACCGTCGGGATTCGCTGTCGGTGGCATTTCGCCGATCCATCGGCGATAGATCGCCGATCCCAGCGGGGCCATCACAGATCGATGTGGTTGGGAGGAGGAGTGGAAGTATGGGGTCTACACCCCTCCTCGAAATCCAACTCGCGACGTGGCGGCGGCCTGGGACCCCAAAATGTCAACGTTCGCGCCGAGGTTGGCGACTGCAGACACAACAAATCTGACCCCGCGGGCCGCGTTTCGCGCGCCGATCTTAGAGGAGGGTTTCGAGGAGGGTTGGTTTCGAGGAGGGTTGTAGGGCGCAATTCTTCGCGATACGATAGCTTGTTCGCAACATCGGATCTCAGGGGTCAGGGGGGGAGGGGAAGGAGGGGGAGGGTGAGGGTCATCGACATTCGCAGATGCCGATTGGATGTTTGGAGCGATCTTCGCTGCTCTTTCGAGGAAGCGCAAACATGGATCAGTGCGCGTGGATCGGCGGTGGCTCCCGCTTTCGCGCAGAATCGGCGCGCTCCGCGGCCAACTCGGGTGGCAGTGGCCTCCTTTTTCCGGGGGTGCGCCGATCCATGGATCTGGTGCCCGCGCGGCAGATCCACGAATGTCTAATCCATGTTGCATGTCAGCGCGTGCCCCTTTTGGGGGGCGCCTGGGGGGCGGAGGAGGAGGGGAGGAGGAGGGTTGGTTGGTTGGCGCCCCCCGTGGGCTGTGAATCGGTGCTGCGGGGACAGCGACCAGAAAGCAGCCAGGAAGGGACAGGAGGCACCTCGAGTGAGCTGGGGGGAAACCCCCTCCCCAAGCGGCCTCCCGCTCAGAGGAGGGGAGAGGATGGGAGAGGAGGGGAGGAGGGGAGGAGGGGAGAGGAGGGGAGAGGAGGAGGAGGAGAGGAGGAGAAGGGGAAGAGGAGGAGGAGGAGGAGGAGGAGGAGGAGAAGGTTTGGGCTCCAAAGCCTGGTGACCACCGAGACACCTCAGATTGGTGTGGTCGCCAGGTGCAGTTCGAACCTCAGGCGTGCTCTCTGAGCCGCGCGCCTGGCTTCTTTTCTGTATCGAACCCTCTTCTCCGCACATTTCGTTGAAGTCGGCAGGTCGCCGTGAGAAGCCTGAACCTGCCTGGCACCGCAGACTCCGACAGAGACGAGGCATAGCCAGGCTGCTCGTCCGACATTCTACTTCCAAGAAGATACTGAAGGCGCACCACTCGTCCAACGCCGTCCAGAAGATGGCGACTCGCTCAGCAGGCCCACTGCCAGGCCGCACGTGGAACTGCGCCAATTGCTTTCGAGTGGTGAAAGGCCATCATTGGAAGTGCTTGTGCGGGCTACACTATGACAATAACTTCAATCGCGGCACAGGGCATCAGTGGCCAGTCCAGCCTTCTCGTCAGCACGCTCGCTAGCCACGCAAGCCCAGCCAGCCGCGAAGGGACAAGGCCCTCCAGCTACAGCAGCCCCAGGGGTCCAAGGCCCTCCGCACTTTCCTGGCGCGCATCGTGCCCATCACGCGCGCACAGATGGGCAACCCCGTCCAGCAGCCATGGGCCACCGTATGGGAGGAGCCGCCGACCGACCCTGCCCAGATCAAGGATTACAAGAGCCGCATCTACAAGAAGATGGATGCGCTTGGGCAGCTCGCACTGGTCGCCAGGGATGCCAGCAAAGGCATTGATTCTTTAGTTGCGGAGATTTCTTGCATGAAGCTCATGGCCCAGAGCGCAGACAAAGCCAGCGTCCAACTCGGCAAGCTCAAGACGATGCGCGACACGGCCTGCGACAAGCTAAAGACCGTCCACGAGCAGAGACACCGCCTGGCCGCGGAGGAGCAGGTCATCCAGCACGAGCTTGAGATGATCAACAACTCCATCCAGGAGGTCAAGGAGCTCGAGATCTACGAGCGCGAAGCCGAGGACGACGGGGGCGATGACATGGAGTGGATGGGCGCTGGCCTGCCCGAGGGCGCCTGGCCCGAGCAGGGCACGCCGCAGGCCGCGGCTTTCGGCGCCCCGCCTGGCGCCTCGTCAGGCACCGCGGCCTTCGCCGCCCCGCCGCCGCCGCCGCCCCAGGCAGCCCGACCCCTTCCAGATGCAGATGATGGCCATGATGCATGCCTGTCAGTCACAGATGCTAGACATGGCCCAGAAGCAGGATGCCAATATTGCCCAGCTCGGCATGGCCATCACCGAGATCCAGGGCACCAAGATGACGACGACATCAAGCGCCAGCTTGCCATCCAGCGCGGGGTTTACCAGGCAGGAGGGGGCGAGCGCACCGCCTCAGCCTGCCTTGCCCCATGGTGCGCCTACGCCAGCCACGCCAGCAGTTTCGCCTACGCCCGTAGCAGCCACGCCGCCGCCAGCCCCAATGGAGGTGGCGCCACCGCCTCATGGCCGTTGCCCTGGGTCGCCCGCGCCGCCGAATGCTCAGCCCTCGCCCGTCAGTCACGGCCCCTGCACGGAGGGATCGCGCGGGCCCTGCCCAACACCAGTACCAGCCAGCGAGATGAAGCAGGAGCCCAAGGAGGAGGAGCTCAAGGAGGCCAAGCGCGAGGACATGTCCCAGGACACCCAGGTGCTGCACCAGCCTCCGTTGTCGCCGACTCAGCCATTTTTTCAGACGGGGGATCCCCTGCAGGAGGACAGCCAAGTGACCGCGCCCCAACATTCAGTCACTGCCAACCTGATAGACGTTGCCGATTCTCAGCCGACGCAGATGACGGCCTCACAGATAGCCGAGGCTGCGCGCAATATCGAATCCGCCCACGGCGTTCCCGTGGGCCCGCCAGACGCCGATGCCGACGTGCCCAGCCCCCCGCGCAAGATGCCGAAGGGAGGCAAGGGCGAGGGCGGGCCTTATTAGCCTATAGCCCCAGCCATACCAACTCGCAGGCTGTGCAGCCAGCGAGCGCCCTCTCAACTCTACCTCAACTCATTCACCTCTATCGGTCGTCCATGGTCGTCCAGCTATGTGCGTGCATTTCCTCCTCCCCTCGATATGGAGATATGGATTTTGTGATTTTCTCGAGCGAGGACACCTCAATACCGGCGTGCGCTTGCTCCAGCTTTGAAGGGGCAGCGTCCGCCCCAGCCATTATTATCACCGATATACGAAATTCAGGCGAAGACAGCCTTGCAAGGCAGCGTCGCCTCATTAGATCTCTCTCCTCGGGGTATGGCGAGGGGGGGGGGGTAGGGTTGAACGACAACGTGTTGCCAGCAGCAACATCTCTTGTCTTGCAGCTTCCTCTTACTCAGCCTCTGCAACTAGACAGCCAGGCACGCCCCCAGGGGCACAAGGGGACAGCCAAGCTAACACGCCTGCCTGCCCCAGCCTTAGGCACCTCCAGAGCCAAGCCAGCAAGATGGCTCGAGCTAGAGGGCAGCGTCCGCGGCGTCCTGGGAACAGACACCTGCGTCACGCTTGCTCCCCAATAAGCTTGAGCCTGCCACTATCACGAGGAACGAGGAGGAGTTGGAGGTGGGATAGGTTTGGGAGGAGGGAACACGTCATACGAGATGCGTTGCGGCCTACCTGCGCGCCTGCAGTGGGTAACCATTCTAGCTGCACGGAGGCCGATGCCCCCGACAACACATGTTGCTGGTCTTGCGACCCTCTCGAAGTATTGTTCTTTGCTGAGCTGACGCTCACTATGTTAACACCTGTTGGCACGATTGCTGAAAGGTTCCTCAGTCTCGACACCAGCGGGCTTATAACATGTACAGATGTCAAAAAAGCTCCGCTACCATTTGCATACACAGCCCTCGGTCGAATAATCACCTCTCTGCCCGCA